TCAGCATCTGCGGAAGTTGATGCTAAAATAAAACATTTATACTTTATTCGAATGTTTCGAAATAAAAGTTTAAAACTGCTAAACACAAAAGAGTATATTTCTAACAAAATACACATCTTGATATCACTATTTGCATTATTTTGTAAACAGATTGACTTTAACCCTAATTAAATTGAGTGTCTTCATTCTTATACACACGCTCTAATATAACTTTTGAAAATATCACTAAAATTATTTATCACTTCTTATTTTACATTAACACAATGTTGTATTATCTATGTAGTATACATATATATGTATATAACACTGACTCACCTGTTAAACCCACATTAGGTCCACTAATCGAATTCCATTGGCGGCAGTTGGAGGACCCCGCATTTGTAGATAAATCATTAAGGGCTATTGTGTTTGAGAAACCAGATGAGCTTTCTGTAAAAACAGATGCTGAATTTCTATCATGTGAAGGCGCATCATCCTGTGGTATGACGCGCTGAATAGCAGTCTAAAAATATTAAATTTCATTATTATTTTGATGTTGTCTAAGAAAGTCAACAACTAACCATTAAATCCCAGTTGGTCTCCTCCAAATGCGAAAAAGCTTCACCGATATCATCTATTCCAGTGATACTCTAAATATATAATTGTAAATATTATTGTATATTATACACATTTTTTGAAAGAATAATTTTAAAAAATTTCGCAGTTAATTTCTTTTTTTTTGTTTGGATAAGAGAATGCTTGTCAATTCGAGTACTGCGACACTAGAATATATGTATATATTCTTTGTCATTTCACAGTCAGACTTATGCATGACACAGCTTAAATTAGTAAGTGCGCGTGTTGGCATTCAAACTAAGCATCCTGTTGTCAATCAACCGTCTTGATATCAAAGCCACATTAATTAATACGATTGAGCAATCCTTCATTTTATATATACATGTGTTTACTTATATAGATACTTTAATATCTAGGTACATATACGGATTGATCCCATGGAATCATTATCTGTTTTTAATTGATTAGTTCCATTTTTTAGCTGCGAGATTTTTAACATCAATTATATGATAAAATAACTACCTGAAAAGTCGCTAATATATCGTCTTTGTTCTCGGACATTTGTATTTTTTGCTTTAGCCTGTATTTTTGATGCTTTTATAGAATGCCTTTAATATTTTCGATTTCAGCTCTTTCCGTAAAAGCCTAACAAATAACTTATTTACAAATGCGTTATAGACACAGCAAACGCTTTTAACCACTAGTTTATGTTAGAAATTTTCTTTTTCTTTTGTGTAATAATAAAATACATTGAAAACTATTATTCAGATGAAAACTCGCTCGACTCAACGAAAGTGTTGTCAGTGTAGATTTCTGCACTGTGTTGCGTAAAAATCCCCCTTTGACTGATTTACTGATTAACCTGATGTCAATAATGACAGCTAACGTTGCTTGAACATACACAGGGTACCTTTACTAATTCTATTAATTTCTTTAAAAAAAAGTTTTAATATGGGTCTTAGCTGATAATATATGCTGGTAAATTAAACTTAATATTGTAAATTAGTTGTCAAATATGCTTAATTTATTTTTTAATTTATATAATCGATTCAAGTTTATTAAAAATTTATCATTCATTGTAAAAGTCTGTTTCCGAAATTACCATGTGTTTCGTTGCTTTAACAACCAACTTCAAGTTTCTTATACCAGCTGTTAGGGTTGTATGTTCAATATTTACTTCTTCTTCTTAATTGGCGTAGACACCGCTTACGCGATTATAGCCGAGTTAACAGCGCGCCAGTCGTTTCTTCTTTTCAATATTTACTACAGTTTTGAATTTTTGCAAGTAATCTTAAATTATAGTTCTAAAAGCAGGAAAAGCTTTCCATTTTAATATTCTGATCGCTTTTTAATGACAGCTCATACGAGTTTTTATTTCTTTGATACAACAGTATTTATTTCTTATGAATATGCCATGAACATGGTATATTAAGTTTGTCACGAAGTTTGTACTACCCAGAAGGAAGGGTCGGAGACCCTATAAAGTATATATATAAATGATCAGTATGTCGAGTCGATTTAGCCCGTGTCCGTCTGTCTCTCTGTCTGTCTGTCTGTCTGTATATATACGAACTAATATCTCAGTTTTTAAGATATCGTTTTGAAATTTTGCAAACGTCATTTTCTCTACAAGAAGCTGCTCATTTGTCGGAACTGCCGATATCGGACCACTATAACATATAGCTGCCATACAAACTGAACGATCGGAATCAAGGTCTTGTATGGAAAACTTTCACATCTCACAATGTATTTTCACAAAAGTTAGCATAGGCTATTTTCTAAAGCAACAATGTGATCTGCGAAGAAATTGTTCAGATCGGTTGACGGTAGCATATAGCTGCCATATAAACTGAATGATCGGAATCAAGTTCTTGTATGGAAAACTTTCACATTTGACGCGGTATCTTCACAAAATTTGGCATGGATTACTGCTTAAGGTAACAATGTAATCTCCGAAAAATTGTTCAGAGCGAATTACTATAGCAAATACATCTTCCATACAAACTAAATACAAAGTTACTAAACGAAATGCACCTGTGAAGGATATTTAGCTTCGGTGCAACCGAAGTTAACGTTTTTTCTTGTTTTTCAATAATATTAATTTTAATTTAGGGAAAGGCTGCAACGGAATTTTTGCAAACAATTAAGCTATTTTGTTTGTTTCTAAGCAAATTATAAATGTTTAACAGGACGTCATCAATTCGTATTCTCAGTGTAATTTCAAATGTATGTATCTAGATAGGTTTCATCATTTGGAGTTTTTCCTAAAAACACGGATTGGGTGGCCTTTGTGATTCCCAGAGGATGAAAGTTAGTAGGGATGGGCATCTAGACAGAAGTGCTAAGGCAACAAGACTAGAAAGATTGTATGCGCTTAATCAGTTCATCGTAGACGCATATCCCTGCGGCTATCTTTTAAAGACGACACTTATAAACAAAATCCACTAGTTTTTCGTGATCTGAACAGAAAAAATTTATGATGTAAAAATTGTCACAGATGCAAAAAAATACCAACAGATTTCTTCTATCACTTATAGTTTTTTGCTATGAGGATTTTTGTTAAAAAAAAAAAAACGGCGATAGATATGTTATTTTATTAACCAAAGAGTACCTTTCGTTTTTGGAGTATCCCTTAAAGATGTCCAGCAGTAATCGGCAAGCAAACTGGCACTCCACTTGCTTTGGTACCGTTTGTCCATAGCAGAAATGTCTTGGTGGAACCGTTCCACATGTTCGTCACTTACGGCCCCAAAATTTTCCAGAAAGAAAGTTTATTTTAAGGAACATGTTGCAACCCATTTTTTTATAGGCAGTAAATAGTTCAGTCATAAGATCTTTGTAATTGTCTGATTTCACATTTCCGCCTTTAAACTAAGTTTAGACGAATCAATGAATAGAGGCCAATCACGTGGATCATGTTTCTGTGCTAGTGCTTTAAACAAATGGTAAACTTCTGAACAGTATACTAGATTCCCTTCTTGAAGAAAATAATTTGTGAGCTCCTTCTGCCTTTCCTTATAAAAAAGTGATATTTACATCACTTTGGAGAAGGTTCCAACCCTTTAGTCTGGACGTTAAGAGTTCGAACTGCGACTTTGAAAGGCTTACGATTCGTACTAAGTCATTAAGTTCACCCTGTGAAATTAGATGCGGCACTGTTCAACATCCTGTTATATCCAATAAAGGATTGGTAGTCATTTCCTTTGCTGTTTCTAAAACATCACAGAGCTAGTCGATTCGAAAGTTTTCATAGAGACTCCAACATTCTGGTGCTTTTGGCATAAGAAGTTGTTCACTGTGTTTGACAGGTCTTAAAGCTGATGGTAAATTACAGTACTAGTAGACAGTACGGTAGACTTCGGTCCAATACCTTTAAAAGTCCAGCTTTGTCTTTGATGCAAATTTTATGTATTATAAAATCTAAAGCCGCAGGTTACGTAATATCTTTCGAGAATAGAAAAATTCTGTTTTCAAAATTGACTTCAGGGTATCAAACCGCATTAGAAACACTTAAGAATTTTCATGTCACAAATTATGTGTCTACCAGTGCAATCTGCAAAAGGCGCAACTATGATCAAGCACTCTCAGACTTTTAACAAGGCCAAATGTACGGGGAACTTGAAGAATCATAACTGCAACTTAACTGTCTTCAATAAAGCGTCTATAAAGCAGCAAAGTTTCAGAAATATTTGTGAAAAGCATTTTCCAAGCAGAAATCTTTGCTATAAGACGGTGTGTAGAGATAAACCACCAACTCAATGAAAGATACTCAGAGATAGCAGCACTTAAAGCAATCTGTTTGTGAGATTAAATCGCTACTGGTGCAGGAAGTAATGCATAAAGCGGCTGAATAATCGAGTGCAACTTATTTGGGTATGAACTGGCTGACGAGCTTGTAATCAATCTATCGAGGAACGAATTACGATTATGTGTTGAATTCAACACTGGCATACTAAGCTCAGGAAGCAACATGGCTCTAGGCTCCTGTGCAAACTGCCGCTTCTCCGACATGGAGCTGGAAATTCCCGAGCATCTGTTTATAGACTGCACAACAATCTGCAGACGTAGGATTAAAGACTTTGGATCCATGTTTCCGAAGAAGGCTTATATCGCCTCAATGGCATCCAGTAGTATTTTGGAATATATCCACCTGTTAGGGCTATGTGAGTGGTGTGAACTACCGTTAAACAAGAATATTCTTCTTCAGAACTTACTTATACGTATTACGTAGAGGTGTAAGTATGTATGTATGTATAAATAAATATATTTCCACACAAATGTTTAATCAAAGCCCAGATGCGCAGCTGCCGCCTTTCGTTATACGTACAAACACACATCTATATTCTGAGGTGAATACAGAGGCCACAAGTGTTTAGCGTGTTGACAAGTGGACGCTGATGCTGCACTTTGATTTCGAAATCTCTGTTAGAAGCCATCGTCAGCAACGAGCACAATTAAGTAATTAGCGTCAAACGCTATTGAAAATCATAGTGAAATGTTGTGCGCTGTGAAACGTTTAACGGTAATTACAAGTATATTAGCGTACTTACTTGTAAACACGGCCGCTTTTTCGGAAATGTGGCCAGGAAGTCTTACAACAACAATGCCTCTTCATTTATCGGAAATAGTCAAAAATTTGCTCAATAATATTGAGAGAGACGGCGATTGGAATGAGAACGTCGATTCGGCTTTGTTGTTTGTTGAATTTTTGGTAAAACGTAAGTGGTAACTTTTCTAAAAATAGATGAAAATTATATATATTAAAAAAATAATAAGCAAAATTAAATAAAATAAATTTAAAAAAAAATACAAAAACATCGAAAAATTATTGAAAATATTTAAAAATATTAATAATAATACTTTATTAATAAACTTCAAATATTCACAATGTTGTTAAATAACACAATAAAACGCAAAATTTCTTTCTGCTTTCGAACAGAAAAAGTGTTACAACAAAAGTCTTCAGTTTTGGACACGGCGATTGGCAGTTTATATTTGGAAATTCTTGAAAAAATTAGCTCAATACGTATGAAAGTGATTCAAAGCTTTGGTGCGCACAATTTACAAGCTGTCTTCCAACATAATCTAATAATAATGGGTTTCACGTTGCGACGGCATCAAATCGATAAAAACTTGGAATTCAAAACAATGGCGCAAAATTATTCAACACTGCTTGGAACAGGATTTCCGAATGATACATTCGCAGGTATGTTTGACAGACACTGTATTACGAAGCAGAACCAAGATTCAATGGTATTTTCTTAAAATGTTCGTATATATAGTAGTAGTATTATATATCGAACCAAATTGAGGTTTGGTCGGGCTAATCTTGTAGGCCAATAAGCCAACAACATTAACAAATTCTACAGCCTCACTATCGATACCTCCCCCCGTGTATCATAACGTGTTGTCCTCTGATGTTTACAACTAATATTTACATTTGTTTTATTTGTTTGTTGAAAGGTCTGTGCTTGATGCATTCACAAGGTCTGGAACTATGTGAACGATTGCGACGTACTTGTCTGCCCGTGATTAAAATCAGCACACCAACATATGGTTTTCGGCGTACACATCAGTGAGTTGACCAATAATAACTGCAAATGACTATTTATAATTATAATAATTTGTACAAACACATATACATACATACATATTGAGCTTTATTATTTTTATAAAAATATTTCATTGATACCATATAGAGCTTTACAGTTATTCTTTCTTATGCACCATAATTGTGCACATTTTTATGGCACGCGACTTTCCTTCGAAATTCTGGCCACCGAGCATTGCTCGCAGGTGTATCGTGAACATCAGTTAATCGCCATGCTTGACAGCAAAGAATGGCAGGAATTGTATATAGAACAGAGTAAGTCTGGTCTCCAAATATTTCTTTTCTTTTCACTGTAATAATGTTAAAAAAGTATTCTAAAAACGAAGTTAAAAAAAAAAAAAAAACTGTGGATTATTGTGCTCCAAATCCACAGTTTACGCTATAAAAAAATTAAATACTAGAAAATATTAATATTTAATACATTTAATTTTAACGTTGCCAGATTTTTTATTTTTTCGAAATTATTTCATTGACGCTTTTTTACATTGAAAGTTTACAAAGTATTCTTTAATTTTGGTGCTGCCAAATTTTTAATTTTCTGAAATTATTTCATAAAGTAGTTAATTTACTTCTCATCTAACATGTTTTTCTTTTTTAAACTCCTTTAAACTTAATTAAAGTACATATCCACCACACATGTTATTTTATAAAACTTTTTTTACATAGAAAAAAATTCGAAGCATAAGAAAAAAACTAATATTTAGTATTTATTAATTTTGGCGTTGCCTGATTTTTAGTATTTTGAAATTATATCATTGACGCTTTTTATACATTAAAAATGTACATAACATAAGAANATTTATTAATTTTGGCGTTGCCTGATTTTTAGTATTTTGAAATTATATCATTGACGCTTTTTATACATTAAAAATGTACATAACATAAGAAAATATAATATTTATATGTTTTTTAATTTTGGTGTTGCCAGATTTGTAATTTTCTGAAATTATTTAATTGACCCTTTTTAACATAACACTTTTACGAAGTGTAAGAAAAAAATATATTTAATGTTTTTTAATTTTGGTGCTGCCAGATTTTTAATTTTTTCAAATTATTTCTTTACGTTTTTTTATACCGATAATTGGCAAGATATAAAACTAAATTTGTATAAATTTCGGAGTCGCCAGTTTTTAATTTTTTTTTTATTATTTCAGTTGAGTTAAGGATTTTTCATCCAAAATATGTTCAGTAAAAATGTATATAAATATTTCTTTATTTATTATATAATACTAGTGCTGCCAGATCAATTAAATTCATTATACTTATAAAGTAAAAATATGTGTATTTTACATTGAAAGTTTACAAAGGATATTGTACACAAATTTTGCGTATAAATTTACAAATATTTAACAAAAAAAATTGTTATTGACTTTGTGAAAATATAATGTAGCTGATTTAGCTGTATTACTTATAAAATCATTTTATTTTTTACAGGTGCCATTTGCGGACTTTTTGGTTTTGCGGAGTTTCTTAACGTCGAAGAATTGACAAAAATTATAGACTGGGAAAGTGCTGCCACTTGCGGTTGCATTAAATCACATTTGATCAGGGAAATACAGAGAAACTGCCGTTGCACGGACCACAAGCACGTCGTTTTGTTAGTGCAGTTCGTCAATGCTATGCTTTTTTTGATTTAAGGCGAAGTTGAGATGTCTTTATTTATTTGAAATATTTTTAAGTAAAATTAAATAAATTTTATGTATGTAGGAAAAAATAAAGTTTTTAAACTAAAACAAGAGCTCGTAAAGTCGTATGTGATGCAGGGAAGGCGACCGAAATAATGGCCCAATATAAAACATCAATGTAAGGAGATATGGCCAGAGAGCTTACGAATAAAGTTTGAAAGAGTTCGTACGAAAAATAGCCGATATATACAGCTGTTGATAGCTGTGCCTATTTTGTAGTAAATGATCTTATTTTATTGAAACCTATGTTAAACTTAAACTCTAATAGTAAACATTTTGTTTAAAACTCGTTTTTGTTTTGAAGATTTTAACAAAAACATGTTTAATCAACGATTTGAGTACGACAACTAATTAGAAACCCAATTTTTTATCAACAAAAAATAATGATAATACAAAAACTTGCTTACTTTCAGTTAGTATTTTGTTGGCTATCTCTTTCACTTTAATATTGCTTCACACCGATTCCAGATATTATAAGACTCTGACAGCGCACCAATGGTGTAGCTTGCCATGCCGTTTTAATTTCATCACAAAGAACATCCATATTTGAGATACTTTTGGTATATATGGATCTTTTAACATCACCCAGAGATGTTCTATTGGGTTTAAGTCTGGGCTGGACGATTCCTATTCCAAAACGTTGATAGAATTTCCACAAAAAATTTTTGTGTCAACTTAGACGCATGCTTTGAATTGTTATCTTCCTTATAACAGGCAAATTTTCCTCAGCCCATGGCAACATGACATTTTTTAGGATGTCGACGCATTTCTCCTTGTTTAAAATTCCATTAATCTTATGAAGTGGACCAAAGCCATTCCAGACCATCATTGATCCTCCACCATACTCAACTACGCGTGGAGCATAGCGATGATCAAATTACTGAGTTGTTGGACGGCGAATATACCTTCGACCATCAGGTCCTAAGCTATTAATTTTTGTTACATCGTTCCAAACCACATTTCTATGTTTATTTGTTTGTATGCGGAATCAAATTTCTGGTACCGAAACATTCAGAATGTTGGAGAAGGCCTTCAGTGATAACCATTTGTTGCGATCAAATGTTTTTGATTGGTACAAATTATTCAAAGGGGTCGAGAACGCGTTGACGACGAACCATGTCCAGGACGGCCATCAGCATAAACTGACGATCAACACGTCAAATAAAGGAATTGATGCTTGAGAATCTATAAATAACAGGCAGAAGTCTTACTGATATTATTGGAATATCGAAAGGATCCGTGAATACCATTCTGAAAAATCAAGCAAGACTGGCTTCAAAATCACTCAACTTTTGAAAAACAGCACCGCGTAACACCGAAACATAGATCAATCGGCCGAATAACGTAACAAAGGTAAGCCGAAGGTACAGTTAACAGCTTTCTTCTTTTATTGACGTATGGTACACTCCGAACTCCATCCGACCGACCAAATTGTCAGCAAGGAATACTTTTTGAGTGGTATGTGTCGTTTACGAGAATATATTCGTCTTGATTTTTGCACCACGATAATGCACCGTGACATACTGCATTGATTCTTCGTGAGTTTTTCGCCAAATTTTCAACCAATATCGTGACCCAATCACCGTAATCGCATAATTTAGCTCCGTGTGACTTCTGGCTATTTAGCAAACTCAAATGACCGCTACGTTTAGAGACAATTGAAGGCATTAAAAGTGAATCGCTACGCGCATTGAAGGCTATTTCGGAAAGTGACCTTAACAACTGTTTTGAGAATTGGAAGAAACGTTGGCACATATGTCTTCAGACTAAAGGAGATTGCTTTGAAGGGGACGGCATAGATTTTGAAGAATAAATTAAGAATTTTAAAATTATGAGCAAAGTCTTGCTATTTTCTGTTTATACTCGTAGTAGTACGTAAAAGTTTCCGCGCCATTTTCGTGAGTTAAAAATTTGCATTGTGGTAATTTTAATTAATTCTAATGAATAAATGATTACTATTCGAACAGTCGACAACGAACGGTTAACCGGAAAGTCGAAAATGAGTGTTGTATTTTCGCGAATACCAAGACCTATGTTATGTACCTAATGGTCAGTCTTTAATTTTTGGTGAGTCATCTAAAATCAATCGGACGAAAATAAATTTGTTTTATTCTATTTTTATTATCAAAATTCTAGAGCGTTCGTGAGCCCTTTGATCATTATCGAATAACTCGAAAATATTAGTTTGATTTTCTTAAAATTTTCAGTGAATATTTCTAAGACATGATACTTTATGATATTTGATTTTTAAAAATTTCGACTACACCTAACCCCATAATATATACCTATATTCCTTACAGTAATTAAAATTATCTACCAATTTTCTATGAATGTACATATGTATATGGAAATGCTCATATGATTCTTACTATATAATACTTTCTTTTAATATTATTTTATATTTTTATTGAACTAAGTACATATCTGTATTTACAAATACTTAGGTACAAACTACTTACATATGTATATATGCAGTTGCTAAATAAGAGTACATTAAGTTTTAATTTTAACCATCTTTCATCGCACCGTATGTTTGCATATACATGTATATTTGTATGTATGTGTAATCTTATGCGGAGCTTTTAAACCAGCATGTGCGGTAAGACCTTTAAATTACAAATGTCCGTTTGTTGGTTTTGCTGGAAAGCATCTGCAATCAATTTATTTGTATTAAGAAAAATGATGAACCTTTGGTTGGATTTATGGGCTACACTGGAAAAAACTTTCTCTGATGAAATAAAAAGCATTAGTTAACTTTTAAGCTGTGAAAATAAAGTAATATTGAAATAATAGCTACCGAATACAGATATGCACTTAGTTCCATAGAAATATAAAATAATATTAATGGGAAAATATTATACACAGTGAAAAAAAATGTTAATTAAATTTCTCAGGTAAATGATATTAAAAAAAAATATATACACGGTTCTGTCTAAGTTTCAATTACATATCTCACGTATTGACCGATATTTTCAGTTATAAGGTGGCATACTTCAAGGGAACTATTCTTGCAAAGTTTCAATTCATTATATTAATTCTTTCTTGATTTGTACATTGGAAAGTAGAAGATTCAAATTAAATTTAAAATTGGGTTATATGGTTATATGGTAAGTAGGAGTGATTATAATACATTTTCACATATAAGATAAGAATGTTAATAGAATGCCATACTGAATTTCGGTGAAATCGGTTGAGAAGATCTCGAGATAAGTAAGTGGTTAGTGCCACGGCCATTATTCAATTTTTAAAAAATTTTATGGCTCTGGCATATAATATTTAGTTATTGATTTGTCGTGATTTTAGTATTTTTCAACAACACCGTTATATGGGTAGTGGGCGTGGTTATCATCAGATTTCGTCCACTGGTAGGTAGTGGGCGTATGGAATTTGTTTTGAGCGATTTTGGTTGTTTTAGCTAGAATAGTTTTGGGGCGGCACACGGTCTTTTTTCAAAATGTTTAGTTCAAAGGTGCCCCTGGTTACTCTAATCCTCTGTACTCGTATCATATTACAGGTTTAATTTAGAGCTTATTTATGAAATTTTATAAGTTTTAGATTAATGACGTTTTATGGGCGTGGCAGCGGTCTTATTACGCCCATCTATGAACTTTCCTCTTTTTGCCAAGGAACTCGTGTATTATTATGATCTTTAAATTTTTATTCAAGTTACAGTTTGCAGAGGCAGATAGACAGACATACGGACAGCAGACATACGCATTTCCACTCTTGTCGTCAACCTGATCATTTATATGGTATATATGTATGTACATGTATAACCTTATATCTGTTTAATAGATATCAGTCACAATGCTCAAACCTACCCAACCGGTTTTAGAAATTCCTTTCGTATATTAATTTAGTATCTTGCAAGAGCCTGGAATAGTTTTTAATAGGTAAGTAGCTGAGTTCAGTGCTATTGGCTTCAAGCCTGAAACTGAAATTTAATTTTTATAATTTTTTTTCCAGTGCATAGCACTTAGACCGGGCAAATAGTGACAAATTATCGTCCGAATGTGTGTAGTAAGATCTAAATAATCATGCTGTTGTGCTTTGTGCAAAGTGCTTTGAATGGCTTTGACTGGCGTTTGGAATCTTTCTAAACAGTTACAGCGAATCAAAACAATTGTAAAAGCCGTTCGAAAATGTTGTGCTTGGAAAGAAAAGCAATAATCTTCACTTTATTTGCTTTGGGAATGCTACTCTGTGTAAGTGAGACCGAAGCGGATAATTTGGATTTGGGTAATATTGTCAAGAACCTAGTAACGAACATGGAACGGAGCACAGTTTGGGATGAAAATTTGCATTTCTCACTCATTTTTGCCGAGTTTATAATTAAACGTATGTTATTTTCGAAATCCGGCAATGTGAGATTGCAAACAAAATCAACTGAATTTTCTTGTGTTTGCAGAAAAAGTGCGTTTTTATGAGCCGACACGCTTCGAAAACCAGCTTTATGAGGACATTTTAAAGCGCATCACAACTTTTCGGGCCAAATTTATAGTTAAGAACGGTATCGGTCGACTGGATAATCTGCTGCAAAAGAATGTCAGGTTGATTAAGCCTGCTGTGATTGAAGATCAAATTAATACCGAGTTGGAATATAGAACGCTGAAGGGGACTTATGATAAGTTGCAAAATACTGGATTTCCAAGCTCAACGTTATCAGGTGAGTTAATTTCAATTGAAAGCTCAGATGAGGCAGTAATTAATGCTTTCCTTAGACTATTGTCTGCTTCATATTAGCTCTTTGGATAAGTGCGATGCAATTGAGAAACATTGTCTTCAGGTCATAAGCTCCAATGCGCCCACATTTGGCTATCGTCGCATGCATCAGTAGGTTAATTAGTATATAAATATATTCCAAGTTATACATAACATGAATATTTTATAGAATACTAATTCTCTATGTGTTGATGCATCACACCTGTGCGCCGCAGTTCGGTCCGCAAATCGTCTATGAAATTTTGTCGACGCAACATTGTTCGGAAGTTTACCGTGAACATCGGCTCTTAGCTATGTCATATTCGCAAGCTCGTCGCGATTTGTACATCGAACAAAGTGAGCCATTTATAGTATTGTAGCATAAATATGTTTTTTTTTTTTATTTTTTGTTTACTTTTCAGGTGCTTTGTGCGGTCTTTTTGGCTTTAGGGAGTTTCTTAATAAGGCGGAAGTGCGAAAAATTTCATCATGGGATAAGTTCGGCATTTGCAACTGTGTGGGCGAAATAACGTTTTTCCCGGCTTCGAATGAAGACGACATCTGCAAGTGTGGTGACCATTCACACAGTGTTGCATTGTTATTTTATGTGAATGCTATGTTGTTTTTGCATTAAGTAAACAGATCCCTTAGGGAGAGCCAAAAATAATAATAAAAAAAACAATTAATGGCGAACTTATTGCTTAAAATTAAGCTATGTATGTACATGTAAATAACAGGTAAAAAACAACTTTCATTAGAAATATGATAAATTTTGAATCGTTTGGAATAATATTTTCCTACAGATCAGATTCTTGGAGACTGCAAAATTCCGTTAAAAAAATATTAATAGCAGATTTTTGGTTTAAAATGTTCATATATAACAAACAAGCCTAGATTCAAATAAAATATTCCATTTTTTTGCTCACCTTAATGTGTACTTACATATATAGAAATTACTGCTGTCAAACAACTCATATGTGTTTATTATTAATATTAAATATACGTGAAATATATATATGCCAGAAAAAATAGTTTCCGATAAATAGGCCAAGCTATAGGAAGCGTTTATTCTTATATGCAGAATGTTGTGCAAACTTTCGAAAAATTATAGTTCCATTGCGTCAAAATCTCGACCTGGCCGACCTGATAAGTTGAGCTTCGGCAAGAAACGTGAAATATTTCGATCAGTTAACGAAAATCTTAAGGCAAGAGTTTATCAAATAAGCTAGGATTGAAAAAGAATCGCACAATAAAGATGTTTATGAGGATACTGTACAGAAAATATTGAATAAGAATGACGGCTTTCAGACATTCCTTAAATTAATAGTGGCATATAAGGAGACTTTTCCTGCTCCTTTCCTGCTTTCGTTTGTCTGCTGATGTCAAAGAACTGACAATGGCATCTGCTTATTCACTGAAAATAATAGTCAGACTAGAATTAAGGAAAGTGCGCCCTTGTTTTAAAAAGCTCAAAATATACTTAAATATAGTAAAATTTACTCTAAGTATGTAAAGTTCCTTTAATTTGAGTAAGTCGTACCCTTCAATTTTAGGACGATCGTACTTAAAATAAAAAAAATCGATGTCTTATTTTAAGTTCATGGCATTTTCCTATATTTTAGTAAAATTGTACTGAAAACAAGTCATTTTTAGACTTTAAAAAAGATTTTATAATATTTTTTTATAAACCCCAATTTACAGCGTACAAAATTTGTGAAGTCTTTAAACTGGAAAATAATATAAATTTTTTATGCAATGAAATCAAAACTAATAAATTTGAGAGCCATTTTCAGTCCTATTTAACAGGAGGAGAACTGCAAAACTTTTATATATTTAATATAAAAGATATTATTTTCCCTATTATTAAGTATTATAATGTAAATAATAAAAAGTATTTAAAACCTAAGTTTAATTTTTAAGAACAATGAAATGAAATAAATGAAACAAAATAAGTTTTTGCATTTTTATTTAAGGCAAATCCATTACTATTAAATGTAAAGACAGGGAGGCTTAATTCTAGAGTCAAAGACCTTTTAATCTAAGGAAGTGGTTCTTATTTGATGGCCTTATATTAAGAACGTCTTTACTTTAAATTAAAGACAACAATGTTCTTCGTTTAAGAAAATTTCCTTTAATTTAAGGCAATATTTTCCTCTTTTTAAGGAAACCATATGTACTTAAAAGTAGAATCGTGTTTCCTTAACTTAAGGAAGACATATCTTTAGTGCTATTTCATCCCCATTTTTCCCTTAAAATAAGTAAATTTTCCATAGTTTTAGGACATATTTGTTTCAGTGTTTGCAGCATATATTCGGATGAAAGCATGCCTGACGATTGGAACTTACATATGTGCTCTGTAAAATCCACAAAAAGGGAGACCCTACAATCTGCGCTTATTACCGTGAGATAAGCCTCCTTAATATCGTATACAAAGTCCTATCGAGCGTATTGTGTGAAAGACTCAAACCGACCGTCAACAAACTAATGGGAACTTATAAGTTTGATTTTATATCTGGAAAATCTACATTTGATCAGATACTCTGCATGTGCCAAATTCTGGAAATGATCCGTGAAAAGAAGATTTACCTCTTTGTCGATTTTAAAGCCGCCTTCGACAGCACATAACGGTGCTGGCTCTATGTCGCTATGTCTGCATTTGCCATCCCCGCAAAAATAATACGCCTGTGTAAACTGACGTTGAGCAACACCAAAACCTCGCTCAGGAGCCACTGCGAGCTGTTCAATACCAAACAGTTTTCTGACAAGGATACTCCCTATCGTATAACATCTTTAATCTATTACTGGACGAAATACTACGAGCTGCGAAACTAAACGTACAACTGTTGGCATACGTTGATGATATTGATATCATTGACTTCAACAGCCGCGCCGTTAGCTCTGCTTTCTCCAGTCTGGATAAGGAAGCGTTGCATATGGGTCTAATTTTGAAAGGGGGACAAGACGAAATATCTCCTGTCTTCATCCAAACAATTGTCTCGCCCGTGACTTGGCTCCCCCGTCACTGATGAGATACATAATTTCGGAGTCGTAAACAATTTCGTCTATCTTGGAACCAACATTAATACCAACAACAACGTCAGCCTCGAAAACCAACGCAGAAAATTCTAGCCAATAGGTGCTACTTCGGATTGAGTAGGAAATTGAAAGTAAAGTCCTCTCTCGACGAACAAAGACCAAACTCTTCTTCTTCCTTCCAGTTCGGCAAAGATGGGACAAAGACAAATCTGATGAGTTTGCTCTGGAGTGTTCGAGAGAAATGATGTATGCCAACATAATAAGGATTTTGTATTGAAATACTTAAAAAATTTCATTTTCATTTCATTTTCAGTAAAATTTGAGCATGGATTTTATAGTGAATTAGAAGTCCTATTGTTTCAGTTATACAGAACCGGCTGTTGCGCTACTGAGGGCTACATTTCTTTCCGTTTAAATAATGATTTCACTATATTTAGATGAAATTGTTTACAATTTTTAAATTATGATTGTTAAAGGTGAGACAAAGGTTCAAGACTCCAATGCGTCGACTGTTCATTTGATAACATGATTTTCTTGATTTTATTCAGAATCGAACCGAGTTAATCAAGTTCAAATTTAGAACATTAGTGTTAGGAGTAAAGGCCATTAGTAGTACAATACACCATCTCTCATAAAATAATGTGTTCGTCAGTTTCATACCAGAAGTTTCACTAGTGCAAAACTGCTTTCATCAAAAACAAGTATTTCAGATCTCCGTGTAAAAGTAGCGGATTTAGTAGTAAAATATTGGACTATACTTGAACTATAGTATATTTTTGTTGTATGTTGAAGATTGCTTTATGAAGAAAACGATATAAAGGTTTCAATGGCTTACCTGACGCCTTCGAATTGGTCTGACAGGTCATTTTAGCAATACTGATTACATTCTCGCCCCTTACAATTTGATAATCGGAAATGTACACCGTTATTTTGGTATTAGTTCATAACAAATGAACCGGTAAATACAGATGTACTTGTATATACATGAGAAGAATTGCAAGAAAACGTAAATAGCGAGTATATGAAAATAAATGAACGAAGGGATGTGAAACAAAGATTCCTACATATTTAGTCACATTAAGGTGGAGCGATAACACGAGTATAATATTTTATGTTTAACTTTTTGTAATCTATTATTGTATATTTATTTTGTATAAAATTTTGGAGTTTAACTAGCCTAATACCTCAAGACCTAAGAATATTTTTTAATTAAATGTGAGAAATATTATTGCGTGCCATAATTAGTATTAGTAGAGATACTTTTTTGGAGTTTCCTCATGGAACGGCTTACGTCCGAATAACGTTTCCTAAAGAATGTGTTTCGCGCACTTCGCTCAACTTATGGTTAACATAATCAGTGGGCCGCATACTATTCGCAACACCATCACCCATCTTGAAACCCAGTATTAATTGTTGGATAATATTCGACCGATAAGATCACGTCCAGCATGCAGTGAAGAAAATATAGCAGCCGTAGCTGAGATTGTACTCGAATAGCGTGGAGAGACGATTCGGCACCGTTCGCAGCAACTCGTACTGATGAATGAAATGACTTTTCGCATTTTACGTCAAGACCTTAAATTAAATCTTAAATTAAATCTTGAATTTACAGTTTGTGTAACAACTGAAGCCACTCGACCTTCCCAAGCGACATCGCTTAGCTCTATGCGCTCTATGAAAACTTCCAATAAGGTTCGACGTTTTCAACCCAATTTTTGTTCAGCACTGAGGACCATTTCTGGCTCACTGGGTATGTAAACAAGCAAATTTTCCGCATTTGGGACGAGAAGCAATCTGAAGAGATTCAAGAGCTGCCATTTCATCCAGAAAAAACAACGGTTTTGATGTGGGTTGTGGGCCGGTGAATTATGGACTTATACTTCTTCAAAAATGATGTCGGTGAGAACATAACTGTCAATGGCAGTCGTTATCACAGCCTGATAACCGGCTATTTGATGCCTGAATTGAGGATATATAAAGTCTAGCGTCATTATGCGTATCTTTCGCCAGTTATCAATCGAATACCAATGAACCATGTGAGACGTATCCGCGGCCAACATTTGATAGAGATAACTTTCAAAAAAGAAATGCGAAAGAATGTTCTTTCGAATGATAATAAACATTCCCCATTAAATTTGAAATTTATATTTTTTTTTTTTATTAAAAAAGTAGAGAACCTCGAAATGGATCACCTTTATATACTTAGCGGACTAGTCCCTCAGTTTTTAAGATATCAATCGGAAATTTTGTACACGTCCTTTATTTTCAATGACGCTGCTACTTTTTCGGAACAGACCGATAGACTTGTATAACCTCTATAGCATATAGCTGCCTTACAAACTAAACGATCAAATTCATAACCTTGCAAGCAAACTTTTTTATTTGATGATATTTCAGCCGAATTTGGCGTGGTTTAGTTTTCAAGGTAACGGTACAATCTCAGAAGTAATTGTTCAGATCGAAGTGCTATTGCATATATCTACCTTGCAAACTGAATGATCATAATCAAGTTCAAGATTTTTATACCATCCTATGCTATAAAGAATGTATCTTTGAAGGTATTATAGCTTCGGTGTAGCCGATTTTAACATTTTTCTT